TCTGATCAAGTCAGACCAGGCTCTGACTAATAAGTACTTTGGAGCTATCTAAACAATGGGGCATTATTTTTGGTAGAAATATGCGTATCCATAGCTAGAATATATTAATGACAGGCGTTTATTTGACCAGGCATTTATACGGTAAAATAATGTACCGGTACATGTACATAACATTTTAACATATACGGCACAAAAATACATGTAGTTAAGGAGTGGATTTTCCATTTTATTACAATACCATTCTCTCCCTCTCTCTCTCTCTCTCTTACTTGACGGAATCCATCGGCAAAATTATTATAATAATATCTAATGGCAGAATTATACCCATCCTTTATAGCACCAAGTGGAGTCCTCTTGCCCGTTCTAAAAATAGATACATATGTAATGATGTAACGACAACATCATTGATATTATACAGTGCAAAATTTTCGAGGGTTGTAAATTTTTCAGATTTTGCAATTTTTAAAGATTTGCAAAAATTACTTCACGAAAATCAAATTATTATTGTAAAATATGACAGAAGACATAAATTCGCAAACAATTTTAAGGCGAATTTGCAAAATTTACAGCCCTCAAAAATTTGTGCTATTAATAGTACCTAGTGAAGTCGGTTTTCAAAGCACCAGTTCCAGCATACTGTATTGCGCAATAGTCAGCATTGTCAGCCCATACTGTGTGGGGGCGGAAGACTCAGTATAACTCTGTATATCTCAGTATACTACCAACTCACTGTTTTTGAAACTAGTCTCGAATTCTTTTTTCTGCTCTAGTTTTTCTCCTTCGCTGATTACGCCAAAACTCTACAAAAATATACTGAGATGTACAGGGGTATACTGAGGTATACAAAAAGTTATACAATGTGCATACAGTATAAAGCATGCATAAAATAAATAAATAAATAAATAAATAAGTGTAATAAATAAATAAATAAATAAATAAATGTAATAAATAAATAAATGTAATAAATAAATAAATGTAATAAATTACTAACTTTCAATTGAGCTGATAGGCTCCTCCTTGCCAATAAACTCTGCACTACATTAGTCCTGCAATGAAATAAATGTAATTAATTATAATATAATGAGGTTTAATTAGCATAATAATGATATTCTCCTCATACTCATAACAAAAAATAATTATCAGAATTACAATATTATCGCCCATAACTTTAAAAATTGAAGTCGGAATCAACTCAAACTTTCTACACAGCATAAGTACATTAATATGTATCAGAAAATGTAATAAAATCTTGGGGTGATTTCGGAGCCATTTTTTGAAAAAAAACCATGGGCTATAGCCTTGGGTACTTTTCAAAAAATTGGCCCTTTTTTAAAATGGCCGTAACTTTAAAAATTGAAGTCAGAATCAGCTCAAACTTTCTAAACAGCATAAGGACATCAATATGTATTAGAAAATGTAATAAAAATTTGGGGTGATTTTGGAGCCATTTTTTGAAAAAACCATGGGCTATAGCCTTGGGTATTTTTCAAAAAAATTGCCGTTTTTTAAAATGGCCATAACTTGAAAAATCAAAGTCGGAATCAACTCAAACTTTCTACACAGCATAAGGACATCAATATGTATCAGAAAATGAAATAAAAATTTGGGGTGATTTCGGAGCCATTTTTTGAAAAAACCATGGGCTATAGCCTTGGGTATTTTTAGAAAAATTGGCTGTTTTTTAAAATGGCCATAACTTGAAAAATTGAAGTCGGAATCAACTCAAACTTTCTACACAGCATAAGGACATCAATATGTATCAGAAAATGAAATAAAAATTTGGGGTGATTTCGGAGCCATTTTTTGAAAAAAACCATGGCTATAGCCTTGGGTATTTTTCAAAAAAATTGGCCGTTTTTTGAAATGGCTAAAACTTGAAAAATTGAAGTTGGAATCAACTCAAACTTTCTACACAGCATAAGGACATCAATATGTATCTATATTTTAATATTCTTCTCACGCTACATTAAAAGTTAAATTATTTAGTATTAATTATTGTTTATTTATTATTAATAATAGCACTACAGCACGCATGTACATGTATTCAAAATAGTTATAATTCATAATAATGTACCAAATGCATGTTAAAAATTTGATTTTAATATCCTTCTCATACTATATTACAAAGTAAATTATTTACATGTAGTACTACAACACACATGTACATGTACATGTACTCAAATTATTCATACCTTCTCTCTCTCTCGTACCAAATTGGCAAGCTGGACAGTTTAGTCACAAGTATTGAAAAGCGTCTCCTAATTTCTTCTCGGATCCCTTCTGGTTGATAAGATTCACAACAGTCTGGCGTCCATAATGAACTATCTGTCTATCAAAGTGGAGCTGTATCCCGGTCTCTTGCTCGTTGGAGGACGAGTCGACTTTAGGAGTCGGTTTGTACTTGAGTGTAGGCCTTTGGGACCAATGGAGGGGTATTGAACCATGGGTCTGGGGAGAGAGAAAGAGGAAGAGAGAGGGAGAGAGAGGGAGGGAGGGAGGGAGGGAGGGAGGGAGAGAGAGAGGGGGGAGAGATGTATAAGTATTAACATATAATATTTTTTATATAAGTATAGAAATAATATGTGATGCTAAGTAATAGAAATAAAATAATTGTGATATGCTAAATGTAACAACTAACAAGTAAAGCGCAGTACTTTAGCTGGATATTAAATATTAGCAGCTTTAAAAATCCATGATTTTGTTTCAATTTAATGACATGCTATGGCTGCAAATTATGTACATGTAAAATTGTAAATAATGTACATATTCCATGCCACAATTTGACACTAAAACGAGTACTACCAACTAATACTCATTCACATGTACCTGTACAAATGAGGAGGTGTGTCTTTCGTAATTAATTATTTGCTCCGTCTCAACAAAATTAGCAGCAAAACTAGTCTGGCCCTGCCTCTTCGTTGCACGGAGGTGGAGGGACCAGACTACAGCAAAACCATCTTCATCAATACCCCTCATGTAATATCTGACTCCTAGGGAGAGAAAGAAAGAGAGGAGATAAAATATTAATCCACATGTAGTTATACCTTGAGTTATACACGTAGTTATCAAAATTAAAATTATCGGTCATAATCAGCTAACACTTTTTACACAACATAGATCTAAGTACATCAATATGTATCAGAAAATGTAATAAAAACTTGGGGTGATTTCGGAGCCGCTTCTTTGGCAACCTCCGGTGTGTTCTAAGCATTACAATGGTGTGATAGTTAATGTTATAAAACCCTAGGGTACAAAACAATAGTCTAATATCTATAATAAGATCAATAACAAATTAAAAAGAAAAATAATTAATATAAACTATGGTTACCTAACTTACCTCTCAAATCTACAAGCTACAGTAAATTAGAAGGTGTGGCCACACTAAGGCATTAGGCCTTGATAATTATAATAGATATTATAGGTTACCTGGTCTCTAATATGCAATAAGCCACACCTTTTTGCAACTGCAGCATAATTGGCTTGTACTTTTGCTTGTAATTTTTGATTGTATCTTTTCATTTCTTTACCTTAAAACAGTTGATCATTAATAGTGATAGAGGTAAGTATATTATAGCTCATTTTAATTATACTTTACTAATTATTACAAGATGATTGATGTCTCTCAATGGAGAGCAAGTATTGGACTGTGGAACTACTGTCAAGCTGCCTCCAGTAGACCAGCTAATGGCTGCCACTCTCACTCATTCAAAGCTGCAGTAGACAGCAAGTCAGGCAGTACTACATCAGGAGAGAAGACATCTAAACTGCCAGCAGCTCTGTCTCTTATTGCTTTACTCCTCCTCCTCTTTCACTCTCTCTCTTTATTAAGACACATCTTGATAATTCCTCCAACAGGTAAACAACAATTGCAACTTTGTACTTGTATATTTACTGGTATTTTATTATTAGGTAACTGCTACCAAGTACAATGTACTACTGGTGTTACTGTTACTGATACAAATTACCTCCAGTCAGTAGTCTTACCTGGAGGCAGCAGTTCTAACCTGATTTACAATGATCTCTATTTGATTGTTTGTCTACGTATGCTCCTCCTCTTATCAGGAGATGTTGAACTCAATCCTGGTCCTATGATTGATGATCAACCATCTTGTCTCTTATTTGCAAAGTATCTCAAACCACTTGTTGACTGGAAACCATTTGCTCTTTGTCTTCCTGGAATAGCACAATCTGATGTAAATGTTATTGATAAAACAAAAAGAAATGCTCACCTCATGAAAATGGCTTTACATAAGAGATGGTTACAAGTTAATCCTACAGCATCATGGAGAGATGTCATTAATGCTTTGAAACAATGTGAAGAGAATGAGCTAGCTAGAACTATTGAAGATAAAGTGACAGATCCCACAGCTGGAAGAAGTACTAATGATGATATGGAAGTCAGTACCAGTAATGCTAATCCTGGTCCTATAACAGGTAAACATACACTTAATACAACACTCATTAACTGATACACTACTGCAGGTAATCCAAAGGCTATATTAAGGACTCATTCTGCTAAACTCACTGATGCTATTACTACTAACCTTTACAGAGTAACTGATGCACTGTATGCTGAAGGACTGATACCACTGGATACTAAAGAGAATATACAAACAGTAACAGGAATATCTGATTATAGGAAATCAAGTCAATTAATGTCTATGATACAACGACAGTTGGAATCCTCTCTTAATTCAGAACAGTATCTTATTGGTATCTTTCATGTATTAACAAACCAACAACATCGTACACTATCAGATATTGCTACCTCTATATTACACCAGTTAGGTGAGTGTGTGTGTGTGTGTACATTATCAGTGATCAATATAGTCATTATATCTTAATACATTAGGTCAGTCTATACCTGATGATGTCACATCCATTAGTTCAATACCTGATGATGTTCAAGGATATGCTGACAATATGAAAAAACACTACAAACACCAACCTATTGTTGCTACAGACTGGCCACCAAGAATTGGAAAAAATTTCTTTGGAAGACTAGCACTAGTAGAAAAACAAGACTCCAGCACACAAGCAAAATCAGCTTGGCATCTGCTAAGAGGACAAGTTGATAAAGCAGTTAAACTAACTGAAAACAAAGAGATAAGTGTTGAAGATGTCCTCCAACCCACAGAGAGTTCTGTCTCTCTCAGAGTAGTAATAGACGGTCCTCCTGGTATTGGCAAGACCACACTCTGTCGTAAACTGTTAAATATGTGGTCTAATGGAACACTTGTACACCAACAGTATGACTTGGTACTTTACTGTCCTTTAAGGAATAGCAAGATAGCTACAGCTACTACACTAGCTGACCTGTTTGTGTGTCAACGTTATGAAGTTCCCATGGTAGCTGAATGGTTTGAGAAGAGGAATGGAAAAGGATTACTGATAATCTTTGATGGTTGGGATGAACTAAGTGAACAACTCAGACAGTCTTCACTAGCTGCTAGTATCATTTGTAAAGAGAAGTTAGACCAATGTTCTATAATTGTTACCTCTCGTAGCTATGCTTCCTCTTCACTTTTGAAAATGGACACTCTCAGTAGACATGTTCAGGTCATCGGGTTTTCTGAGGAAGAAATATCAACAGTAATTATTCAAACACTTCAAAAAGATACAAAACTAGCTCAAGAACTGATTGATGAAAACACTGAACAAGACAAAAGGCTAAAATCAATGACTAATGCAAAATACAAATCACATTTCACAACTACTCAAAGCAGTAAGGACTCACAACTAGCAGTGAAACTCATTAATGATCTTGAAGTACGAAATGATGTGCAATCATTATGTTATATACCGCTAGTCTGTTCCATGGTCATCTTAGTTTATTGTAAGGAAGGAGGACACTTACCAACAACACTCACTCAACTCTATGAGAACTTTATCCTACAAACTATCAGAAGACATGTTAAAAGACATGACATTAACCCATATACTTTAGGTAGTCTTTCTTCATTACCATCACAATTAGTTAAACATTTACAAGAGATGTGTCAAATAGCTTATACTAATCTGGCTAATACAAGAATGACATTCTCTTCACATCAACTACAGTCACTGAGTGAGGCAGTCAAGGAAGACTATCTTGGATTGATGACAACATTCATAGAATATGATGAGGAAATGTATCAGTTCCTTCACTTGAGTATACAAGAATTTCTAGCTGCATGGTGGATAGCTAAGCATGAGGAGAAGACAGAGGAAGTGTTTAAGGATCACTTTGACGATGATCACTTTCGAATGTGTCTGAGGTTTGTGGCAGGTCTAACTAACCTTAAACACGAGAGCTATCAACAGTATTTTAATATAGCACAACTTGACCTACAGTGTAAGAGGAAATCATTGTCTGGATTTGAGACTTTTCATCTCTCCTTCTTTTATCAGAATCCTGAGATTACAGATATTGAACATAACAGTTCTGATGATTTTGACAATGTCCCCATTCTTCTTTTTCAACTCCTATATGAATCAAAGAACACAACATTGTGTCAAGTATTAGCACAATCCATCAACAACCACTCACTGTGTCTGGATAGAGTATCATTATCATTGTTTGACTGGTTGTGTCTCAGTTATTGTATAAACAATTCCAACACAACATGGAATCACTTGCACCTGGGGCGTGTATTTAACGATTCACTTTCAGTCTTCACTGCTGGACTAACCAATAACTCACTACAGACCCAGTGTAAGAGACTGGAGGCCATAGAGTTGAATAATGCCACTGATGATTTAATACACAAATTATTACAATCATCACTTCTATACAATATTCAGGAAAGCTACTGTGGATTAATATTTGGTCAATATGTTCCCTGTCTTGTACTGTTACAGTTCCTCAATCTTCCTCGATTAAAGATACTGCACTTAAGAATGGAACATCCTACTATACCAACATTTGACAATACATACTACACAGACAAATGCATTGAACTTGAGAAATGTATAGAAATTAATTCAATACTACAAGAAATGAAGATTGAGTATGAAGGAGAGAAAGAAATAGCAAGTACCATTATCAGTGTCATTAGGGGAGTAACAAGAAATAACACAATAACATCATTAACAATAGATGTGGATCATGAATATGGTGTTCATCCTCCTCCTCTACTTTCTCCTCTACCTGATGGAGTAATAGAGCAGTTACTAAAGGACAAAAACACATTACAAACTCTTTCACTGAACATATCTGAAGAACTTTTACCATTATTACTGCGAAAAATTGAGGTGAACACACCACTGACTGCTCTAGGGATAGGGAGGAGTAGTAAACTGATGACATCATCACTCCTTCCACATATCAAAGGATTACACTGTCTGATACTACCTGATCCATACCCACCACATCTTCTGTTTCTCTCTCATCCCAGTCTACATGCACTTACTTTACCACTAGACACAGCTGAGAGTGCTATTGAACTATTTACTATTCTACAAACCAATACTACACTTAAAGCTCTGAGTGTGAAGATAAAGGAGGAGAGAATACATACCGGCAGTATGAGTACTAGTCTACAAGACATGCTAAAACAAAACCAAACACTGAAATACCTTGAGATTGATGAGATTGATAATGTCTTGTATAGTGAGATTTCCATTCCCAGTTCATTCCTGTCCTTCCTAACAACTGGTCTCAGACACAACACCAGTCTACAGCAGTTGAGTGTATCCATTCCACTGAATGAAGAGATAAGAACTTTTATTAATGTCATCTCTCAAAAGAACAATCTCACAGAACTTAAAATGGACTTCAAACCAGATCAGTCATACAGTAACTGTAGTGAGGAAGAGAAGAAACAAATAATGACACCATTGTGTTATGAAAAGGTACTACCTGCTGTTGCAAACATGTTACAGTCACATACAACCATCAGACTACTGAGGATAGTGTGTGTATATATTAATGTTGACTCATCTCAACCTAACTGGATAGAACTAGTACAACGTTTATATGAAACTATCTTCATCCATCCATCACTTGAATATATTGAGATTATTACTGGATACAATACTCCTCTCCTGGAGGATACTCTTAAAGATCAAAAGAAGACATTGATTGATAGACACAAAAGAGAACT